TCATTTTTTTTTTCATCTTCGCCCACCACAAAAATTTTTTTAGAATAAAAGAAATTCTCATACTTTATATTTGTTTTGGTACTTTCGGTAAAATATGCACTATTTCCATATACATTACCCTCGTATACCAAGTATTGTTTATCATTTTGATCAATTTCATACGGATAAGGTCTTAAAACATGAGTATATGCAAGCTTCACCTCAAATCTATATTTTCCTTTTGACTCGATGCGTTGATCAAAATATATTTTATAATATTGAATTCGACTAAAAAAATTTAAATTTATGAAAAGTATATGTCAAAATAAATGGGAGATGAGAAATATTTTCAAATGATAAAAAAATTATCGGATCAATTAATCGATCAATGAATCAATTTACAAAACTTACTTTGCTAAATCAAATTCAGCTTTTTCTACATTTAATATTTTGGTTTTTTTCCCCTTCGCTTCAATATATGATAAATGATCATGCCATTTCTCGGCAATAGGAAAATAATATTCATCGATAGGCTCTTCATGTATATTTTCTACATTATACGATATACTTTCTCGAACAATAGGATCATGAAGCTCAACAGCTCGAATCAAATTAACATTCTTCCAATATTGTGGTACACTGAAACTTCTACTAAGCTTTTCTTCTCTTTCTTCTTTTACTACTTCTACCGAATTTACAAATAAAAACTCACTAGTTATTATTATTACTATTGAAAATATCCATATATTATAGAAAATTCTTTTCCACCACAACATATTTATAAAAAAATTTTTTTTTTGAAAGCAAAAATAATTTAAGAATACATTTACGTGTAACATATCTACAAGTTTATCCAATCATAAATCTGTTTACTCTGACCAGCATTCATTCATTATCTGAGATTTGAATTGAGAAATAGAACAAATAGAACACACAAATAACAAATATTAATATATAATGTATCTGTTAAGGATGTATATAATTTAATAAATGCCAATTTATAATACATTTAATATCCTTACTTAATATTGAATTATTATTTGATTTAAAAAAAAACTCTTATTTATGCTAATTAATTTTTTTTTTATAGCCATCAACTAATTCTCTGTAACTCTTTAATTCTCATTATGGCTACAGTTTATTCAATATTATAATATTTTCCTTCAAAAACTGACTGACCTGGAAAATACATCTTGGGATCTACATAATATTTATAAGGTATATATATATACTGTATATCCCACTAGAAAACCAAACATTTCATTTTTAAATTTAATAAATTACCTATCCCTATTCCTGTTCTTGGGTCGTTTTAAATATAAATCTTGGCTGGCATATATTAGTAATATGCTATTGAAGAAGTTCTTCATATACTTCTTTATTAAACCTGTTCTTATTAAGAGTTGATTTATCATGAAAGAAATTTTATAAAATTTCATTAGTGAAATAGATTATCTAATATAATTTTCAACATGATAACATCCCCTTCCTCCACTCTGGAATATCTTTGTCCAATTTTTTATCTTGGCCTAAATATCAGTTTCATCTAATCCCAAGCCATCCTTTTCTGTTGTAGTCATAAAATAAATATAGACTCTTTAACATCATGAAATCTTAATAAGTTCTGGATTTTCATTAAGTTTGATAGTTGAACATTTGACCGGACCATTCTTCTCAAACAGCGACAAAATCTATAAGACTCAAAGGATAATCTGGTAAATAATTTTCTCCATAAATTGAACCAACTATGATTCACCATAAAGTATTGAAGATTCTTTGTCTTTTGGCCACTCATATTCTAACAACATTTGACATTTAGCCATTCTTGTTGAAAGTTTTTCCTGATTTTTTAAATTTTTATTTGACTCTTTAACACAGTGTCACCAGTTATGAGAAATAATAAAAATAAATTGAGAGGGGGGTCAGATTTTGCTAACAAATTGTTTAGAGTTCGATTTGATATGAGTTTATCAAGTTGAAACTTGTTATCAAGCCAAAGCCTGTTATGATTATTTTCTTATTCAAGAAATAGTTATTTTTCAAATACATTAAATTCGGATACCTTATATACACTCACCTCCCAAAAGTCATGGACCACCCCAAAAAAAAATTTTTTTATTAATATTTTGTAGAGCCACCATT